AATTCTGGACATGAACGAAGAAGTTGTTCCTTGGGTACACCTCTGGAAAGTCTGAGTTCCTCTACCCGCTCTAAAAAATCATTCACACTAGTCTGGCCATTGTACTTTAAGTTCCAGCGACTTACGTCAACATGGGAACTGTGAGACCAACCTCGTTGCAGAGGGGAAAACTGCAACTCACGAAAGCGATTCGCTAGATCGGCCAATGGTACAGAGTCAGAAAGATTGGCTCTATGCGAATCACCCTGTGAACTGGGAGTCTGTCGAACCCGCGATGATGCTGGCTCGTGAACATGATCGGTGCCTCGTAAAATACCACCTGAATCTGAAGCTTGCCCAGGCCCTCCATGATATATTTGAGGCTGCGAAAATTCAGATAGACCTGGAATGCCCAGTCGCATGGAGGTATTGGTCGAGGACTGAAATCGGCGATCCCTTGGAAGAACAAAAGCCTCATAAGTAGGACGATTGGTAGAAAAATTATAGGACGGAATGGGACCCTTTTGTGACAAGAAAGGCTGTTCAGTGCCTCGTATTAACGGATCTGAAAATTGAACTGAAGTTCGAACATTAGGTTGGGTGGATGGTGTACAATATCGATGCGGAGGAAGCTGATCACGCTGGAATTGGTCTCGCGATAATTGATTAGGACGGAAGGAAAATGCTCCACCTGGAACATCAGCAGTCTCAACAACCTCCTCATCCGTCCCGGGTACGCTTTCATTGTCACCGTCTTGACTAGCGTTACTATTGACTTCATTCAAATTTTGATCACCGGCCTCCCCATCAAGGACTATTAGATCATGGGAAACCGCTATGTCGGTGCCAAGATTAGGTTTGGAGGAAGCTCCAGATGAGTGGACCTCGTCACCTAAGCCTGATGGCTGATCAACAACCGAACCAATATTTGGGGTAGCAACAGCCTGTGAAGCCAAGTTAAGCTGACCAATTAACCTTGCGCATTGTTGCAACAGGTTATCCTTTAAAACTTGATCCAATTCGGTTGTGGCATGAACCCTTTGTACCCGAAAAGATACGTGCATTAAGAGTGTATTTAATTTCCGAACATCGCCATCACCACTTTGAGTCCAAATGTCCCGCTGAATTGCAATCAATTTACTCCTGCATAAGCAGAGTTCGCTATCTGCATCATCAGCTGAATAAGAGGGAGTAGGAATTTTATTTTCCCTTTCTAGTCGCAATGCTTCACGCAATGCAGCGCGCTTTCGCGCAAAAGTTCCCGACAAAGGAAGGCCACGAATAAAAAGTTCATATTTTAGTTCCTCACTTCCCAAATAATTGACATCCATTTTAGTAGCTTATATAAATAAATTTAAAAGAAAATATTGAAGTATTATTACTTAAATTACCAAATAAACTAAAGCGAGGGGGAAATAGTTATTTTCCTAACAAGTGCGCAAAGTGTTACTTTTCCGCACGCAAACACAGTTATACGAACGACGCGAAGCGGAGTTCGGATACGTGTTTGCGTGCGGAAAAGACACTTTGCGCACGTGTTAGGAACAAAATTTTTCCTACGAGCTTCATATCAGGTAGGTAATAACAAAAATTTGAAAAAAAAACCGATAATTTGTTTAATTATTTTTAATTAACTTGAAGGGAACCTATGCATTTATCAAAAAATTACATAACAAAAAAAAAATAACAGAAAATCCTCGTCAGAGCTGTTCATCTTAAAGCGTTTAAATTTGATGAGAAAGTTTGTAGATTTTTGCATATAAATAGAGAACAAATCTGATGTGTCAAAGTTAATTTATAATTGGTGTTTGTATAGATGTTGGCTGATATAGAAATAGAGGAAAAATTTGTCATCATGTGTCAAAGTCGACAGGTGCACTTATTGTTGCTTGACAATTATAATTACTTTTCGGCACTCAGTGCGGATAAGGCCTGTATCCGCACTGAGTGCGGAAAAGTGTAACTTTGAGCCCGGAAATGCGTGCGGAAAAGTACTACTTTGCGCACGCTCGTAGGAAAAACAATTATTTCCTTGTGTTTGAAAAACAGCAACCTGCCCCCAACAACGCAAAGAAAAAAAAAGAAAAAAAAATAATAATAATTATGCCTACGTAACCCGACCAATAATTTGGTAGTAAATCAACCAAAAGAACATATCTTATGAGCCCAGAGGTCAAATTAAATGACCTGAGAAATTACTAGCTAAAATGTAACCTATAAAAAATACAATCCAAATAGGTAATATTATTAATTAGATATGACGAATATAACGAATAAATTAAATGATTAGGTACCTTAAGTCGCTTATCAAGTCAACAATAAACGTAAACCACTTTTTGAACAAACAATTTTTGGCACACCACTACCAACCAGTGATAAAAAATAGGATCTATCAAGGCCAATTTTTAATTTATGTAGGTATCTCCATATCGCTCAACCATACCACAATAAAAATCCACTTTTTGTAATTTGTAATTATTTTCGGTTACCAAAATAAGCTTGTTTGGAAAAAAAAAAAATACATACCTATACCTGTACCTAATGAAAATTTTCCTAAACCTAAAAATATACAACCTATCAAAGAAAAACAAAAATTTAAAAAAAAAATTGAAAAAAATACGCGAGAATCCATTTATTTAACATTTCAAAACCAGTCGGTACCATACACTGCCAAAATCACCCTTTAAATGTGTACTTGATATCAAATATATATATATTTTTTTCTCTTTTTCTTCCTTTACTAATGTAGGACAGAAAAAAAAATACGGAAAATCGAAAATGCACGATGGGCGCCAAATTTGCTACATTTTTTTTCTGGTAGCAAAACGGAAATGACCGGAATGAGGGTGGTTACGCAAATGGGCTTAAGAAAAGGAACTTAGTTTCTACCTTATAGGGCTGAGAGTGCCAGCTAAACTCCAGTCGGGAGTGGTCGAGGGTTAAAACAGAAGAAAACTCTAGAAAATAGGTAAAATTTTGGACGCCACCCGTTTTATGGCCCTAAAGTAAGGTAGAACGTTAGCTGAAAAAAAAAACATCTAAAACGGGAAACCTAAAGGATTTCACCCAATTTGGAAATCAAACTCTGTCGTAAATAATAAAGGGGCATTTTATTCAAGTTTGCCGAGATTCATTGTAAGTACTTGATTTAGATATTTTCAGTACCTATAGGTAATTAGTATTATCAAATCGGTATTATTCAAATCAATTTAAGTAAATTAGGTGGAATTGTTGAATACTCTCTAACTAAATAAAACAGAAACAAAAAGGTACCAACGCAACGTCCTTTGCATATATGCTTCGGCTAACACGGTTGAACTATCTATAAGGAAAATTAATAACTAATTACTTAATTAAGGTAAAATATATATAACTAATTACTTGATTTATTTGATTAAGATTCAAATATAGATGATTCATGTACTAGTGATTTGGCTTTTCAGGGTGTTTAGGTCGATTCCGCGTATGTACGAAGGGCTTTTCGAGCCTGGGACGGTTAAGATAAATTAGAACGAACCCACCTGGATATCCTGGAGTTGGTAGCGTCGGGTTATTTAGCTACGAGAGATATCAGGAAGGCGAGAAGGCGTGGGCTCACGCGTCGTGGAATTGTCGGCGTCGTGATTGCGTCACCGGACCAGAAGTTACGGGACATCGAATTCTCTCGAAATGGTATGCCAAACCAAACTTTGTCCAAACCATGGATTGGAAGTTTAGAGGGGGAATCAATAATGGAAGATAAAAACAACAGACAGGCCAGTGATTTCAGGCGGCCATTTTGTGTGTAAATCCAGTAAAAAAAAAGAACTCAAGGAATTTAAGTTTTAAACCCGAAACTTTGAGTAAATCAGCAAAAAGAATTGCTCGGGGTGCTAAAATAGTGAAATTAGCCACCCACAATCAAAATTCGGAATAAATTCCAACGTAAATCGGCAAAACGCCTGAGAGTACCGTACCTCAAATAACGCACACTGCAAAGGAGGCTACAGTACTGACTGCTTGAGGAATGAACATCGTAGTATTCACCTTTTTTTTTTCTTTTCTGTAATACAATTAGTTAGGTACCCCAAAAGTGTTGATTTTGGCTTGACCGTACGGACTGGTATTTTTGGTTTATTTATAGGATGGACAAAATAATTTTAAATAGCATTTAAACATTTCATTAGAATTATAATATATTTCCTAAAGAAAATTAAATTAGATATTTTCTTGGCAAATAGACCCGTAACAATGTTATTGTAATTGTAGGTATTCAATTTCGCACAATGAACAAATAAATTAAATATAACATGAACTAGGAAGAAAATAAAAGGTGAATTAGGGAGAAAATGTAAAATTGATTCTCTCGATATTGTAACTTGTAACTTTCCGCCTGCTAAAAAAAAAAAATGATTGTCAGTCAATTTCATCATAGGCGATTTCGCCTCAGATCTCCATCTGCTGTTTGGTAGGCGAATGGTTAACCAATTGGTACGTGAGTGACGTAGCTTTACAATCTCGTCCGAATTCACTGGGTAGGGCGTTTGGTACATTTTGACCTTGACATGTTTATTTAGACATAAGACAAAAAGAGACAGAAAGCTACTAAACCTCCACTACCCCAGTCAAACCGCAGTATAGCATTTGACAGACCAAGGCATCTACCAAAGTTGTCATGATGGCATCATTCTCCCATCCAAAATTGATTGGTACCTGTTTGACTAACCAAAGTGGAGTACCAAACTGAGGTGAAATCGCCTCATGATAGATTTTTTTTTTCCGTCACTGGTGGATGGATTGCTTGCGTCAATGGTGAATGCTGATACAGGGCTTTTTGGATAACTTTGAAGGCAGCAGCCTAACATGGGGTTGAGGGGATACAGGAGGTAACTCAGGAAAAGAACACTGTTATAAGCTGGATTTTGTTTGAAATCATATTGAAATATAGTTTTGAACCCACAGCAAAAACTTGGGAAAATATCAACACTAAAGGTTTTTTAAAATAATTTAATATTAAATAAAAACAGAAGCTTAATGCATTGCTACTTTTTCTTCTCCTCTCTACCTTTCTTGCTACCTTTAAGTACTTTGCGCGAAACATCTGTACATTTTTCTATTAAGACATTCCTGTTCATTTCTAGTGCCCTCTCTGAATCGTTTCTGATTTCTAAAATAAGCTTATTCTTCATCTATAGAAATGTATTGTCTCGAATTATCTACCTTTAAACCATTTTGAGAGCACCTCAAAGTTTTCCATTTGTCCCTGCAACATTCCCTCGATATCATCTTGTGTCGCCTGTTTTTCAAGTTGGTACTCCTTGAATTGACGCTCACGGTTTGCTTCATCAATTACATAATCATCTTCATTTTTAGTTTTGCTTAATAAGAATAAATAATAGGAACATCAGTCGAACAATTTAATTCTGCTTACCAAAAATCTAAATCAACTTCTTTTAATGGTTTCGTCATGTAATCGTCGAGAGGCTCATCTCTGATTACTTGTAAAGCAAAATCCTCTTTGTTATTACTCCGAAGACATTTATCGATCGATGGTGCACTTTTATGTTCTAGGTGATCTTGCAAGTAAGCGTCCCTAAATTAAAAGTCATACAAAATATATTATCTTAAATAAACACCAGCACGAAAAAGTACATCTTTCAGCAACAAAACGCATGTGGAAAAATGGCAATTTGCAAAAACATTATTTTTCGTCACACTATAATAATGGGTGTTCAAAAAAAAAGTGAATCAAAGATTGCTATGATTTTTTGAACGCATATATAGCTATAATTTTCTCTAATTTTGTAATGTCATCTCAAAAATCCTGATCAATAAAGAAACAGTAATGCGTCGTACGTTTTTGTTACGTTTTTTGAAGACCTGTTACTATAATGTGGAAATTATTCACTATCGACCTTAAAATTTTCATTCATGAATTTTATCAACGAAAAGGAAAATGCCAATATGTCGGCAAAGATTGAAATTATTTATGGATGAGTAGTTTTGCAAGTCAATAAGATGCATTTTGCAACCCACGCTTCACCTACATTGAATTTTAAGTGTTTTAGATTATATAAGGGCGAAAACATATAAAGATTTCAGTATCAGCTCCATAAGCATACAACTAAAACTATAATATCGAAACCGGAATTAATATTCAGTTATTGAAGCCCAATGATTTATCTTTTGAACTTGTATCTTGTAGCAACTTTTATACTTACTAAACAAGATGTTCCACAGAAATTTTGTGGCCCTAAACTTGAAGTTGCTTTAAGTCTACTTTGTCAGAGACAATATTATTCTGTTTCCAAAAGAGAGGGTGAGTATTCGATTTACACTGCATGAAAATTTATTACTGCTTGTCAAAAAAATAGGATGGTGTGTCATATTCAATCATTTTTCCCTTAATATACCTCAGATCGCATCATTCCGAGGACACTTATGAATATTGTGTTAGAGAACCATACAGGGTGTTTTTTAAGTTGAAGTTTTCCTTCGAAGATGACAGAACTTAAGAGAATACACGAATTTTTCAAATAACATTTTCTGGAATACTCAAAAATAAAGGAGGCCTATGATGTATCCTCTCCTGTTATTTTAACAGCTGTGTTATAGCTCAACAACATACCTGTCTCTATTTTGATGTATAGAATAAACAGTGACAGATAACTTAACGTTGCTGTTAAAATAACAGAAAATGATACATCATAGGCCTGAATATTGCCATTTTAAATAATATCGAAAATCAAATAAGTCCATGTACAGAAACTATAAATACAATAAAAAAAGATAAAATTCTAATAAAAATTGGAGAATATCTGAAAGATAATGGAAATTTTTGATATAATTTTACCTTTTTTATTGTATTAAATAAAGTTTTTGCAAATTAACTTGAAATTTGATTTTTGATATTATTTGAAATGACCCCTTTATTTTTGAGTTGGTTTTCAAGAAAATGTTATGTATTTATTTGAAAAAGGAAAACCCCAACTTCGAAAACAACCTGTATAGCAGCAATACCTATTCAATATGTTGTAAGATATTAAAAAAAAATCCTCAATAATAAATTTAAAAAAATATCTTCCGTGGAAATATTTTTGAAAAATTAATTACCATCGGACACATTAGCATTATGCTCCAGATTTTTAAAATGGAATATCAGTTCATCAATGGCTCCTGTCAATTGAATATATATTTTTTTAATATGTAATAAAACAATGCTTTTAGTGTATGGAACAGTGAAGTATCTGCCCAGCATCGATAATACCAAAAATGATGACATTTATAATGAAATAAAAAAGGAAACAGAAAATAAAAACGACGAAAGGCGACCATTTATATCTAAAAACAAGGCAATCTCGATGATTTCTCAAAGTCGAAGATTAAAAAAGCAGACTCCAGTGGAAGAATGTTGCGACAAGAAATGTACTTATGACGAACTCAAAGCCTATTGCATCTAAAGACGATGTTGAACCATTCTGAATAAAGATATTCAAATCGAAATTCAAATGCTTTTAGCACAGCTTCTTTTAAGATAAGATGGATAGAATATTCGAAGATCGATTTCGGTTACATAACATCTCTCGTAATATTAAAATTTATTTCAGCATTTACCAAGGAGGCCTTATTATGCGCAAATTATACTTATATAATCCCTATTTTTATGTTCTTGAAATGTTAATAAATCATATTTTTTTATGCAAATTTTCGAGTTTTTTGAGCAAAGTGTTAAACTCAAAGGCACAAGTCAGGATTTTTTCTGGTCCATAGAAAGCACACCAAGCCTTAAACAATATAAGCTCGAGAGTCATTCCTAGACTTAACTTACATCAAAACTTATTCATATATTATGACTTATACAGGGTGTCCCACCGCGAATTAAATCGATCTATACATGAAAAACTGTATGCAGAAAAGTTTTGAAAGCTTAAGAGTTTACTAATGTCGATGGGGGCCACCCGGCTAAAATATTTTCAAAATGGTAGCACTTCCGATTAAACCGGAAGTAGACGTCAATTTGCTTATTTTAAATAAGACACCCTATATGTGATTGCATATTTGGATTTTGCCTAAGCAGATTTCATGTGATATACCCTTTACCTAAGTTCAACTGTTTTGGAATTATTCAATTATTGACAGTTGAAAATTGACTTTTTGCAACTTCGACAGGCTGTAAAAACCGATTTCACATTCCCATCTTAGATTTTCATAAACTATCATTTGACACCAACTTTGAATTTAACCGGAGAATAAATTTAATCGGAATTTTTAATCATGGATTAAATTCAAAGTTGGTTTCAGTTTATAAAAATCTAAGATGCCTCTAAAATTCACCGTTTAGGTTTTACAGCCCGTCAAAGTTGCAAAAAGTCAATTTTCAACTGTCAATATTTCCAAATATATCACAAGAAATCTGCTCAGAATTTTTCGTAGAATTCAAATTAATATGCAATCACATACAGGGTATCTCATTTGAAATAAGCAAGTTGACGTCAATTTCTGGTATAACCAGAAGAGCCACCATCTTAAAAATATTTTAGCCGGGTTACCCCTATCGACATTAGTATACTTTCAAATTTTAAAAAATTTTCTACATACCGTTTTTCATATAGGTATAGATCGATTTGGTTCCCGGTGGGACACCCTGTATAGGCATATGCACCCACAACCGATTATGAGGATGATATGATGGAGATTCTTTACGACGACAAATGTAACCCCTTTTGTTAATGAATTAACAAGGGGCCCATAATATACTACGGTTCGCTTAGCGAATAATTATTAGGGGTGGGTTGATAGTTTAATAAGTACAGGATGGCAAGGGTGCCACTGAATTAAAAATAAATAAATAATTAAGTTACATAAAATATGGAGGGGTGAAAATTCAGGAACACACAAAAAAAAATCTGCAGACGGTAGTTGATAACTCTGACAAGGAAATAAATAAGGCACATAACTCAACCAAATCCTGACATAGGTAAGCCAATAAAACAATCAAGTAAGTTTCAAATTAAATTAGCGTATATTTCACAGTGAGCTCAAAAATCAAGTATCGAATAATTTCAAAGTATAAAATCAATTACTGTTAAAACACTTTAAATAAAATCAATAAAAAGAGGTTAACTTTCAATCAGATTCATAAAGCTCAAAAAAAAAGGATATAAAAAAAGTTCATTACCAGTCGCTGGCCATATCATCAATTTGAAATAAAAATATGAAGAATTTAAGTTTCTAAAAAATTAATTTAAAACAAAAAATGAATGAAGGAAAGGAATAATATTATGTGGATAAATATGGTCAGCTACTGCCAGAAAATAAAATCAGTAAAATCAAATTTAAAGTGAATGAAATCAAAGGTTAAACCGTTAAACGTTGAAGGGATAAAGGAGATATAACTGAAATCCTGAAGTTTATAAGTTTTATAACCCAGATGAAAATTTGATCCGTTTTTGGCGTTATAAGTACTTACCCAATAATCTCAAATTTAGAACCAATGAACTATAACCAAAAACTGGAATGCTAACACATAAGGACGAACGTGAATTCTAGTGCAGCTGCTGCGGGGGGGATACCTGTTTTTGTCGCACTCATTATGTTAAATGGCGAAAATTGCTTCCAACACGTATTCCAATCGATGAAACCTGTGAAGGGAAATATGACAAAACTTTCGAAAACGTAATATGACAGCGAGCAACAGAAAAAAACAACATTCCCCCTTGTGGCATCTGTCTTTCATGGCTTCATTTTTTTGGCAGATATGGCAATGTGTGCGCATTCCAGTTTTTAGCTATAGTTCATTGTTTAGAACATATTGTTCAACCTTGACCTCTTCAAATTATTGATTATGATTAATAAAAGATACCTAAATTTTTTTTTGTGGCACCAAAAGGGAAGTAAACATAAATCTATAACAAATAGTAGTCCGGGAGGCAGCGGCTTTTTTTTTCGAGGAATTTCATCACGGCTGAGATTAATATGGTACGTTGTAGTCACATTCCTAATGGCGAAACCGACCGTCAGCCTCAATACCATCGGTGGGTGGACGCGTGGGAGGCTGCGGAACTCGTGAAAAAAAAAAAAGTTTTCTAAAGTTATTTCATCTCAGCTGAAATTGTTTACACACATTATTCATAACAATTAGCAACAGAAAAAGACCGTCAGCCGTGCGGCAGAGGGGGGATGGTGCGTCAGTCGAGCGCGTGAACTTGACAAAAAAAATATGAATTTCAAATTATTTCATCTCGCTTGAAATTTTTACACATGATTTCATACATATATAAAAATATAATAATGACCGTCAGCTGCCTGTCTAGTGGGGGTAAGACCGTCAGTCAGGGCGAAAATGTATGAGCGCTCATGCAATTATACGACGCGCGGAATTTTCTATTCGCTGAGTGACGGCTTTTCCCCGAATAGACAATCAGCAGACGGTTATTATAATATTTTTATTTGTTGAAACTACAATACTTATCAATTTCAAATGAGCTTATTACGATTTACCCATTATACGTTTCATGTAAAATATAGTATTATATATAGTCTCCGCTATATAATATAACCAAATATATACAGGTGTTTCAGAAATGGTGTTAC